GGGGGGGGGGGGGGGGGGGACAAAGAGGAGGGAACAGACAGCAGAATCAGGAGGCAAGAGGAACAGGGCTTGGGGACTGCTGGGCTTTGAGAAAAAAGGGTACAATGCTGAGGGGTCTGCCCTAGTGACTGGGTGTACGGTGGAAATGTCCCTAAGATGGGGACGAGGAGGTTAGTAGGGAAGATGCTAAGCTCAGTGTAAGTGAAATAGAAAGCTCTCCCAGGTTGGAGAAACCGCCTGGACACTAGCGGCTCGAATTACTGAGTCCTTGAAAATAAAATGGGCTGAGGACTAGAACTCCTGGCTTAAGACTCCAAGGTCCCCGAGTTGCATCACTGGAGATGACAGCTAATGTCTTGTTCTTTGGCATTTTATTTCAAAATTGCAGCAAGGACAGAGAGAAGGGGGGGGGAGTCAATGGCAGCACCGGGGAGTCCAGCCTAATAACAGAGAGATGCGGAGTCAGCTCCAGGCGCATCTCTAACTTGGAGCAGCAGTGGACCTGATGCCCGAGATGCAGGGCTGGGAGCGAAGACGTCTGGGTCGGGCCCTCACGGCTCTGGGAGTGTAGCGACCACGTGGGGGCGCCCGAGGCATGGGCGTCCGGTCCCCCGGCCTCCTGCTTCATATTGCACTTCGGGTGAGTCATTGGTATAGACGCGAGGGCCGCAGGACTAGACGCTGCAGGTCGGTAGATCCGAAGAGCCGTCGGGCACATGCCGCAGCGTCACACCTGGAACATCCACTCGTGCGCGCCGGTTCCGTACTGTGGGGCAACCAAAGCGGAGAGTGACGTGGACACCGCACTGCAACTCCCAGCAGGCCCTGCTGCGTCCCAGGCTGGGGGCTTAGGGGGTTGCGCTCGAGGGCCTCATGGGAAATGTAGTTCCCTTCCCGGAGGGCCGCCAGCAATCGGGGCGGGAGCATCAAGAAAGACGGCGCAGAGGCTCAAGAGAAATGCAGTTCCCAAGGTTCTCGGGAAAAGTCGTTCTCAGCACAGAAAGCTCGTGTCAGGGGAAGCAGAGTTCTAGGTGTGGCTGCACAGGAGCTTACAGAAGGACCCCGGAAAGGCAGCTCTAGGGCTCGAGTGCGGGGAGAGGAGCCCAGAGGTCATCAGGGGAAAGAAACCTTGGCTCAGAAGAGTGGGGATGCCTCCAGAAGCGCTTGGGAGGAAGAGAGGAAGCCACGTCCAGAGGCTCACAGGAGGAAGATTTCTCAGGCCAAAGGGACAGCCTCGGGAATCCTGGGCGGCCAACTTCTGTGGCCAGTGGAGTGGCTACGGTCCAAGAAGCTCATGGAAAGGGAGTTTCTCCCACCAGGAGACCCAGGGGCCGCAGAGGCTCAGGGGAGGGGAATTTCTCAGGCCAAAGAACTAGCCCAGGTCTCCAGAAGCTCCCATAAAAAGTTATAGACCCAAGAGGTGTTCCAGGCCACAGAGGTTCACGGAAAGCCAACTCGTCCCGAGGCCCAGAGGCTGATAGGAGGAGCCATTATCTGTTCCTGGCACTACTGAGGAGGAGGTCGGTTCTCAGTCCAGAGGCTCATGGGACATGAACTACTCTGGTGAACAAGCATCCAGCCCATTTGCCCACAAGTGCCCCTCACCTGGATCACCTTCAGCTCCTTCTGGAAGCGGAGGATAAGCTCAGGTCCATTTTCCATGGTGGGAATGTGGAGGTGCTGGGGAAGAAGGTGCCATGAAGACTGGGCCCCTGCCGCTCCTACTCTCACACCCACAATGGCAGCACTGCCTCACCTTGCCTTTGTACAGGATGCGGTGCACAGGGCAGACCTGGCAAGCGGTGCCTGAGCCAAAGACTTCCCGTACCCGTCCCTCCTCCAGGGCCCGCAGCAACTCCTTCATGGTGATCCTGCGCTCTGCTACGCGGAACTCTCCCTGAGGGGCAAGGGGCAGAGGTACACCTGTCCCCAGAGGGCTGCCTTGCTGCAGACCCCTGCCTCTCCCTCTCCAAGGACGGTGAGAAAGACAGAGCCTTCAAGAGAGGGGGGCAGAGACATGCCAGTGTGCCCCAGTCCCCACCACAGCCCCCTGATGCTATGCCTCCAATACACAGATACCCCATCACCCAAAGCCATCACCACACTCGCACCCAGGTCTGAGCCAGGTCCAGCAGACTCTGTCTGACTACTCCAGGCAGGATGACTCCATCCAGCGAGGGGGTCACCAGCTCCAGCACTAGGTCAAGTGTAAGGGATGGGGGGTGTTACCTCACACCCTCTAGAACCTCTCCCATCCTCTTAGGAGCCACACACCCCTGCCTGCTGAATCCCGGGGGCCTGCAGCCTGCTAGGAATTCTGTTACCACAACTTCCCACCAGGGCTTGGGTTGGGTCATGGGTGCACTCACCCCCATCCTCGTGGGTCCAGTAGATGAAGATGTTCATGGTGCCCACCTCGGTGAGCTGGTGGTCAGGCCCATACAGCCAGAGAACCTGTTCACATCCCTTCTTTTGCGCCTCCTCTTGCACTAACACCGTGGGCCCATAATTCCTGGTGGAGAACAGCCTGGTTGGACAAGGCAAGGGGCCCATCCTTCCCCAGCATGGCCCTAGACGAGTCTTTCCATACCAGGACTACCATTGCCCCTCCCCAGATCACAGCCCTCTTGTGAATCCCCAGTGTCCCCAGGACAAAATCCCCAGCCATTAGCTTGGCATCAAGACCCTGGATGGCATCTTTCCTGCCTCTTCCTATTTTCTAGATTCCAAGTGCACCACTGTTGCCTTTGCTGGGATCAGCTTCCTCAGCCCTTTCATCATGATCAAATCCCCAGCTATCTTCAAAACCATTTTCAGGGCCAGCCCGTGACTCACTTGGGAGAGTGTGGTGTTGATAACACCAAGGCCACGGGTTCGGATCCCTATATAGGGATGGCCAGTTCACTCACTTGGGAGAGCCTAGTGCTGACAACACCAAGTCAAGGGCTAAGATCCCCTTACCCGTCATCTTTAAAAAAAAAAAAGAAAGAAAGAAAGTCCACACGGGGTGACGGGCACGGGAGGCCCAGCTGACTGGGAGCCAGGCACTGGGGAGCGCAGTCCAGTCTGCGTGATCAGGGAGGCTTCCTGGGAGTGAGATCAATGAGCCAAGTGGAAACCTCATTTCTGGAGGCTCCCGCCAATCCTGGCCAATCCACTGAGCTCCATCCAATACCTTCCCATTTCTGAGCCCAGTTGTTCATCTGTAAAATAATCCCTTCCTCCTTCCATAGTTTATTTTTAGGGATCGGGAGGTCACAGGAATACGGCACTTAACACTGTGCCCCATGCCTAACAGGATGCCAGTGACATCATACCCCAACTCGTGGCCTGAATTGCCCGAGCATGTGAAACACAGCTAGGAAGACAACTGACATGCAGCAACACCCAAAAGCATGGATACTAAACCCTTTGTCTCTGATGTCCAATGCACCAGATGCTCTGAGGGTGGGGACGCTACTTACCCACCCAGTTTGTAGTTGCCGACCCCACCCACCCAAGCCCGGATGAATGTTGGGTCGGCCAAGAGGGAGACAGGGGTCATGGAGTCTCCAGGGAAGTATGAGCCCACGGGGCAGAGAATGACATACAGGAGGGCTTGCGTGGCACGGCTGACACCCAGCGACATCTGTGATGGACAGAGGGGGCTGCATCAGGGACCTAGGAGTCAGGGCCCCTAGCCCCCTCCTCCCTCAGACCCAGGAGTCCAGACCCCCACCTCTCTCCCCTCCCCCGACCCATGCATCTGGATTCCCAGCCCTCCCTTTCAGAATCCACCCCCCGTGCAAGCCCAGTTCCCCAGCCCTCGTCCCAACTCTCAGCCCTGGGAGTCAGGCCCACCTCGTTACCCACGAGCACAGGCCGCACATAGAGGCTGTTGTCGGTGCCGTCAGGAACCCAGTCCTTGTCTAGTTCAATGAGCCGACGGATGCACTCGAGCAACTCGACCTTGTCGAAACTCTGGGCAGGATGAAGGACAAGTCAGCAGGCCCTCGAGGCCCTTGCCTCACCCCACACTCTCCTCCACCCAGGTGGCGGGGGCTCCTCACCGGCAGGCAGAGGCGCAGGGCTGAGCGCAGCATCCGGTCCATATTGAGCCAGGGTCGGAAGAGGCGCACCTGCTGGTCTCTGCCTTTGTACGCCTTCATGCCCTCAAAGAGCTGCAGGGGACAAGTGGGTGGCAGGCTCAGAGACCTCCCCAGATTGTCATGGAGAGATAGTGAAAGACGCCAGGACAGACTGAGACTGTTACACAAAGATACAGACACAGAGAGATGGAGGCAGAGACCAAGAGAGCTGGGGAGCTGAGTCACAGAGATGGACAGACAGACAAACAGGTAGACAGAAAGAGACACAGAGACTCAAGGATGCAAAGGACAGCAGCCAGAGAGAGTGGAAAAGAGACAGTGGATCCAGAGATAACCAGAGAGACCCCGAGCGAATGCCCCACTCAAGCCCTTTCCATGTCTCTCTCAGTAGATTTCAGGAATGATATGGTGTGGAAGTCATATTTTTAACAGTCCTGGTGTTTTAGACAAACAGTGGAATCATTATGGATGAAATAACAGGATTTGCTTTACAATCATACAGAAAGGGGGAAGAGGGTGGAAGTCCGGATGAAACAAGATCGTGGCCAGCAGGCGCTAACAGACAAAGCCACGCGGTGGGGACCGGGGTGGCGCGCGTTCTATTATCCTACTTCTGTTGGGAATTTCCAATGTTAAATCTTCTTTTTTTTTTGAATACAAAAATAAAAAGTTGATCCCCATCCCCACCCTGTTGTTCTCAGGAGAAAGCCCAAATCCTCACCTTGACCTTAGGGACCCCTCCTGATCTGGCCTCTCTTACCTCCAGCCTTCTGGGCTGGCCAACTAGCTCATGGTGCTGATAACACCAAGGTCAAGGGCTTGGATCCCCACACTGGCCAGCCCCCAGCAAAAAAAGAAAAAACCTCCAGCCTCCTGTACTAACACTGCCCACTGCTCCCACATTGCTGCCACCATGGTTGCCTCCTGCTCCCAGGGTTTGCACTGGTCAGGTCCTCTGGCAGGAAACTCTCCTTACTTGACCTCATGTCTTCCAAATCATCTGTTAGGGCTCAGCTTAAACGTTCCATCCTTCATGGCGTAGCCCTCACCCCCAGACAGGTCAGGGTAGCCTGATTACTGCCTCATGGTTCCGTGTTAGTTGGTTCAGCATGTGCTCCAGTACAGACCAGAAGCGCCCTAGGGCAGGGACCACATCTGACACATTTACCAGAGAACCTCCCCACTCTGTTGTACCTAGTATGGTGCTTGGCACATAGTAGGTTTTTGTCGAATGTATGAAGAATGAAAAACAAGTAAAAACAGCCAGTATATGTTTTGGGGGAAAAAATAAGGGGTGGGGGGCGCTGCAGGGAGTAGCCCTACTAGATATTAAAACAGATTATAAACCTATGATACGAATGACAGATTGAACAATGGAATAGACCCAAATATCCATCTAGAAAAAAAATTAAACTGGATCCTTACCTCACCAGTTCACACCAGAAAACATCCCATATGGATTAAAAGTTTAAATGGAAAAAAAATGTATTAAACCATGAAAGGTATAGAAGAAAACACAAAGTAACCTATATATTTGTAAGGATACCGTAGGCACCCAGGCGGGGGACACTCCCTGGCAATATGGCGCACTTCCGGGTTCTTCTCCGCAGTAAACAAGCCCTCCGGCGCCAAACCTCAGCCAGTCACAGGTCAAGGCTCACCTCCCACCCAGCCCCGTCCAATCAGCTACCGCCCCGTCCACCCCCTATCCAAACCCGGAACGCAGCTCCCTATAAATATACGCGCAGTCCTTGAATAAAGCGGAACTTCTCTGGCGAACTGTCAGCCCGGGTCTCGCGTGCCTCCTTCATCCGTGCCTCCTTCATTGGTGCCGAAACCCGGGAAGGAGCTCACCCTGCCTCAGGAGACTCCTTCCGCGGACTCCTCTGCGACCCCCCCGGGACTGACGGTCCACCCTCCTCTATTTTCTCTGGCGCTGGCTTCCTTCACCCACCACCGGCTCATCCGTTAGGTAAGCCCCCTTTACTTTTTGGCCAGGCTTGTAGATTATTTAAACCGTCACCCATAATATATATATATATATATATATATATATATCTCCTGACCTCATTCCCCCGTCCCTGGAGGCTAAGTTCCCATTCTTCTTTCTTGCTCTTTCTCTCTCTCCCCTCCTCTCACCTACCTCTCTTAATCTTCCTCCTTCCGGGTCCAGGACCCCCACTAAAGCCTAGCGCTAGGTTCCTTCAAGCTCCGGGCCATTGCCCTAGAGAAGTGAGGGTCTAGGTGACGACCTACACCCGCCTTCTCTCCCGGTTCATACTCGAACCCCTTCCCTGAGATTGGTGTGACTTATTGGGGATGCCCTCTGGGTCTCGTCTTTCTCATCCAGCTGAAGGACTCACCTCTAAACCTCCTCTGGTTTCTCTTCTCTAAAGTCCTCTTCCGGAATGGGAACTTCTTCCTCCTCACTTCGGGGGGATTCACCCCTACAGTGCCTCCTAAACAACCTCACCACTTTATCCCTCAAACCAGACATTAAACCCAAGTTCCTCACCAAATTTTGCACACAAGATTGGCCTTATTATCCCTTAGACAACCAAAACAAGTGGCCCCCTGAGGGCACACTTGATCCTGACATTCTCCGGGATCTTTTCAACTACTGCCAGTGCCTGAAAAAATGGAAAGAGATTCCCTATGTTGAGGCTTTTCGCTCCCTCGCCCAAAACCCCTCCCTCTGTCTCACTTGCTCCCCCTCTCAGGTTCTCTTAGCAACCGAAGCCACCCTGCCCTCTTCTCCCGATTTAAATCTGCCCCCAAGTCTCCTGAACCTTCACAGCCTGCCCCCCTTAATCCAACTGCCCCTCCACTTCCCGATCTTCCCTCTGCCGCCTCTTTTAGCCCTTCTGTCACACGTTCTCGGGGACCCCCCGCCTCTACCATGGCTCCCCTTCGTGAGGTGGCTGGCGCTGAGGGAGTTGTTCGAGTCCATGTTCCCTTCTCGCTAGCCGACCTTACTCAGTTAGAAAAAAGATTAGGGTCCTTCACCACTGACCCCTCCACTTACATTAGAGAATTCCGATGGGTCTTTCAGGCATACAGTCTCACTCACCATGACATCTATATGCTCCTAGCCAACACCCTCCTTCCCGAAGAGCGCCGCCGTGTCTGGGACGCGGCCCAGGCCCATGCAGATGAAACCCACCACACAGACCCTGCTTTCCCACTAGGCCCCAGGCAGTTCCCGAACAGGATCCACACTGGGACTACAACACACCGCCGGGAATTCAGGCCAGAGATCGCTTTGCCTCTTGTCTCATGGCTGGTCTCAAAAAGGCCACTCGCAAAGTAGTCAATTTCCAAAAAATCCAAGATATAATTCAAAAAAAAAGGATGAGACACCCTCTGAATTCTACACAGATTATCTCAAGCCTTTCAACAATACACCAACCTAGACCCCCTCTCAGAAGATGGCCGTCATGTCCTTATGACATATTTCCTGGCCCAATCCTACCCTGATTTTAGGGCTAAACTAAAAAAATTAGAACAGGGACCCACCACCCCACAAACCGAAATCTTATCAGTGGCATTTAAAGTTTTCCATAATAGGGAGGAGGAAAAGGAACGGCGGAAGCAGAGGGCT